GGTATATACAAGATCTCCCATCTCTATTTGTCGCTCTGCTGCCTAGTACTAGTTTGATCGGCTCAATCACTGCTTGACCCTCGCTGCAGAGGCTGCCTGACAAGTTTACGAGGGTGCTGCTAGAGCTAGACGGCGGCAAGCCCCAGGAAGTGAAGCTGCGGAATGCCGGCCACGGGCGTCGCTTTTGGGACGTGAAGGTGGTGCTGGACGCCGACGGCCACATGTACCTAGGGCGCGGCTGGGAGCAGTTCGCCCGTGCGCACGACCTGCGGCTCGGCTACTTCCTGGTCTTCAGCTTCGACGGCGACGCCGTGCTCACCGTCAAGGTGTTCGACGTGAGCATGTGCCGCAGGCACTACCAGCACGATGACGATGGCAGTACCAGTACGCGCCTCTTCTTCCTCTTCTTTGTCGTCGTGTCAGTACGGTGGTTGTAACTTTTGCAAGATTTAAAGAAGGATGGTTTTCGCGTTTGGCAGGCAGTGGGAGCAGCAGCGACGGCGACAGTGGCAGCAAAGATGGCAGCAGCAACGGCGACGGTGGCGGCAACAGCAGCAGCATGGCGGTGATGGGGATCGACGACGGGCCGGCGTCGCTGTTCACCGTCATGCTGAGGGAGTGCAACCTGGGCGTGAGGCAGAAGCAGTACCTGGTGAGTCGCTCATGCTCGAGTGTTGCTAGCCAGGCGCGTTACTGACTAAATCCGCCACTCGCCGTCGCCGGGCGTGTCCGGCGTGTGCATGCAGAACGTGCCGGTGGAGTTCCAGAACGCGCACGGGTACGCGGAGAGGAGCAAGGTGGAGCTGCGGATGCGCGGCAAGTCGTGGTTCGTGAACCTGAAGCACAGCCCCCGGAGCCGTGGCAGGCCCCGCGCGTCGCTCAGGTACGGGTGGCACCAGTTCTGCGTCGACAACGGCCTCGGCGTCGGCGACACCTGCTTCTTCCGAGCTCTTGGCGAAGGCAGCGCCGGCGAGGTCCACCTTCTCAAGGTGGAGGTGAGGAAGCGAGACGGCAGCTTCCTGGTCTGAGGCGAGGGCGGTGGCCCCCGACCTCCGTTGCATGCGTCAGCCTGGTTGGCCGGCGTGACCTCGTCCGTGGCCATCGACCGGCACCACTCAGTGCGTTATTATGCTTGCTTAATAATAATTGTAAGACCTTAATCCTCGGTACCTCGACTGATGGTGCTACTAGCAGAGTGAGTAACTAGAGAGTGAACCTGGATGATGAAATTGTTCTTGTTGAGATTGTGGCTTTTTCAAACAGGATGAGTGGCATCTAGTAAATCCCGCAATGATGATACGAACAACGAGTCAAAGACTCCCTTGTCTGTACCAGTTTCACCAAGAACTCAGTGCTACAGCGTCATTTTTTTAACAAACTTTTGTGTGTGGAAGGAATGATCTATGCTCCATCTAATATAACCTTTCATTGTAAAATGTACAGTTTGAATCTCTCTGTCCACAACAATTAAATCCGTTGATTTTCTCAATGTTAACACACACACACACACAGAGAGACACAGGTGAATCTTTGATGGTATAATTAAATATTATTTTTGAACTGGGGAAGGAAAATTTGTGGAATACACCTTAATAAAATTGAAAAACAACCATTCCATATGAAAATTAAAAGTGCAGCCATGCTCAACACTCACCACGGAATGAAACATCCTCAACACTATATATTGAAATTATGGGCTTTGCCGAGTGCCTAGAAAACTCGGCAAAGGGCAATTAATACTTGGCAAACACTTTACTGAGTTCAACTCACATCATAAGGTACTCAGCTTACACCCTTGCAAAGGACACTTTCCCGAGTTTCAATACTTTGCTTAGAGTAGTCGGCACAATAAAGCTACTTGATGGCCCAGATGGAGACGATGCTTGTCGCGTGATACATAGGTTTGCCGAGCTCCATTCAACCGCCACTCAGCAAAGTCCAACGCACACGAGGCCGCCATGTGAGTGACTAGAGAGCGAGGCATTGCATCTTTGCTGAGATGGGCTCTCAACATTACGTGTTTTACCAAGTTCTGCACTCGGCAAAGCATCTCTCGGCAGTTTTTTTAATAGGCCTGCAACAAAATATATAGCAATTATATCACTGCCCACATATAACAAATAGTACCACATTAGATTCAAATCACATACATTTCGTCAAGCTCAGAGAAACGCGATATACTGTCCAATGTGGGCAATGCATGTTGCATACGATCAAATTGTAGAAGTAACACCACAATTAGAACGAACTAGATGAAGTATTAAGTTCTTCAGCACACTCAACCCGATCTGACCTACACCCTTGATTACTTCATGTTTCCTCATCTTTTTGAGCACATACTTGGAGTAGTCATCCTCTGCCTCCTCCCTAATATTTAACCCTTTGAAGCAACTGCCTTTGTAACCAACCACTTTGTTCATTGCATGTTTGCTATGAATCGTAGACTCCTAGATATCTATCTGAGTACACTACATACTACTTCATCTATAAAGAAAGAAGAACAAGATTTAAACAAGTAACACAGGTTGAGAAGATCACATGGAACATAAGCAACATAAGCCGTCATGATTCATATACTAAAAAGCATCGCAAGTTCTACTCCGAATCGATATCACCACCTACATAAATACATCTCTACATCAATGTCAAACTACCTAGCTAGACTACCCCTGGAAAAGAGCTCTACTCTGAGTGGTAGTTTGTGAATCCGGTCATCGTGGAGTCAGAATAGGTGGGGATCTCCCCCCTAGTGGAGGATCCAGTGTCGTCAGCACTGGTGGTCGGCGGACTCAGTGGCACCGGGTCATCGCTATCCTCAAGCGGCGCTTTTTTCTTGGTCATCTCGTCAAAAA